AGTCCCATTTCTAAAAAAAGATAATAATAGGACGGCCTCTCAACACGATGGGTTATGGGCGGGATTGATGCGATCGCCCCTCCCCACTAATATGCCAAGATACCATAGGGGACCGACATGATGTAAAAAAATTATTATATAGAAATTCAACTAATTTTGTTCACAAACTATGATTTATACATAAAAATTGAACCGCCCAATTGGGTTTGGGTGGGGAGGGCAGTAGATGTGATCGCGCCTCCACCCCACCGAATCGGTCAATATACCAGAAGGGGAACAACATATAAATAATATAAATATGTTTGTTAAAAAGTAGATTTTTTTATATAGATATGTAGCAAATTTTGAAAACAAACTGTGACTATTTCTAAAAAAAAAAATGTACCGCCCCCCCCCCCTCAAAGGGTTTGATGCAATCTCCTCGCCACGCCAACACACTAGATGAAGGGGGCATAATCTAAACATTGGTTTCACTATAAGTAGTATTAACAGAAGTCAAGAATTGGTTTCACTATAACTAGTATTAACAGAAGTCAAGAATTGGTTTCACTATAACTAGTATTAACAGAAGTCAAGAATTGGTTTCACTATAACTAGTATTAACAGAAGTCAAGAATTTGTTTCACTATAACTAGTATTAACAGAAGTCAAGAATTGGTTTCACTATAACTAGTATTAACAGAAGTCAAGATCCACTCGCGCTTTTCGGCGCATTGGGCGGTAAGCTGTCTCAACAAAGATCTTTTACTGGCAATGTCTGAAGCCTCCTCCCACCTGGTGTCCACTGTTCTGAGGTCCTCCATTAAAGTGTGGCGCCAAGTTACACCAAGATGTCCCTGTTTACGCTTCCCTCGTATTGGTCTCCATGACATCGCCACTCTTGGTATGCGTAGTTCATCTTGTCGGAGAACATGTCCCGCAAACCTCATGCGACGCTCTGTCACGACCTCACTAAGTGGTCGACTCTCAGTTTGGCATAAGATTTCCTTGTTTGAGACCCAATTCGTATAACTGACTCCCGAAATCCGTCTCAGACATTTTTGTTAAGCCACATTTATTATTTTCTCAATTTCGACAGATGGCTTCCATGTCTCACATGCATATGTTGCTGTTGGGATGACGATTGTGTTGAGAAGGTGTATTTTTGTCTCAAGTCCAATGGCTTGTCCAAATAGGCTGCAGCCTTTGGAAAATGCTCCCTGCCTTTCCTATTCGGCACTCTACATCATGGTAGGCATCCTCATCGTCTGTTATGATGCTGCCAAGGTATGTGAACTTGTCCAATTCTTCAAGCTTTGACTCGCCAAGTCTGACGGAAGCACACTTTGCCTTATATCCCACTCGTAAAATTTTAGTCTTATCCAAGTTTTTGCGCATGCTAATTTTATGTGTCTCTCTATCTAGGCTCTCCGTCATTTCTTGTATGTATTGTATATGTGTTTGTAGCCCCGAGTAGTGCAATGTCATCAGCAAAGTTCATGTCAGTCATTCGGTTTTGTTCACGCCATGGAATACCAAAGGTAGTCTGGTTCATTGCTCTCCTCATTATGTAGTCGATGGCTAGGAGGAAGAAGAAGGGAGATAAAATGCACCCCTGTCTCACATCTGTCTCGATACTAAATAACGTGTTGGTTCTTGTGTTTTAATGCAGCAACTAGATTGACTGTATAGATGTCGTAGAATCTGGACGAATTTTTCTGGGATGCCGTATTCTCTAACTATTTTCCATAGTGATTCTCGGTGGACACTATCAAACACTTTCTTAAAGACTACGAAACTGATCGTTAGCCGTTGTTGGTACTCGAGACTTTGTTCTATGATACTTCGTGGAACGAAGATCTGCTCTGCACATGATCTGCCTCTTTGGAAGCCTGCTTGCTTTTCTCTGAGCCTCTCATCTACAGACTGTTAAAGCCGTCTCAACAAAACAGTGCTGAAAACTTTACCCGGGATAGAGAGGAGAGTAATGCCCCTCCAGTTGTTGCAATCTGCCAAGTTGCCCTTTTTTGGAAGCTTTACAATCGCTCCTTTTTGCCAGTCCTCAGGGACTTTAGAAGTTCGCCAACAGAGATTTAAAAGATCAGTCATTCTGTTAACAATGCGCTGCCCCACATATTTGAGCATTTCTGCTGACACTATGTCTAGCCCTGGTGCTTTGTTGTTCTTTAGCACTGCAATGGCCATGGAAACCTCTTCTGTTGTAATTGGATGTGTCTTGACCTTAAGATCATTTTCCGGAGAGGGGTCCTTGAATGTGTAAGTTAGGTCTGGCGACGGTTGGTTAAGGGTCTCTTTAAAATGCTCTACCCATCTTGCATCCTGTTCTTCTTTCATTAGCAAAGTTTTGCCTCATTTTGTCTTTTATTAGTGCTCCATATCCACTCTTTGCTCCAGCTTCATCTATGAAAGGATGAACTGTTTTCAAAAAGCGTGTGAAAGGTCTGTCTGTTAAACCTTTATATTACAAGATGGGAATGTAGACTGGAAAGTGCTAGAGATGTAAGATTCCACACTACAGATGCTTTAAAAGAACTAGCTGGAACCACAGATGATACTCGAGGAAAAAGTAAGGCTAGAGTCCTTAATAAACTAAATGAGAAACCATAAGTTTTTGGTTGCAAAATCTTTCTAGCACTCTTTACTGTTTCAAGTAAATTTTACAAGCAAGGAACTTCAAAGAAACAATGGATATTGCCACAGGGCTGAAATCATTTGAAAATTTGTGCGACTGATTAAGGGTTAGATGCCTTTTGAACCTGTTTTGATTGATGCCAATGATCTTGCATCTGAGTTAGAAGTTGACCCCCCCCCCCCCCTGTTTCAACAGAAGCGCGGACGCAAGAAAAACAGAATGTTAATTTCTGAGTCTTCGCATGAACCCAGAGTTCTGAGGCCCCAATACAGAATTGAGAGTGAACATTTTCAACCAAGTTGTTAACAAATTGACAAGGCATTGCAACGTCTTCAGCCAGGGTTTAAACAGCTTAATGAACACATCAAACTCTTGAGTTTGGAACAAAATGTCAGACAATGTTCAGTCGTCCTGACATCTTACAAGGCAAAGATGGAGAGATGAACAAGTGGAGACAATCAAGCAATTATTGCCTGCTCGGCAACAAAAGGAACTGTTTCAATATCTTGCTTGTCTACTGCATTCCCTTATTGGTTCATTGCCCTGGGAAAATTTATGTTTATTCCAGAAACTGTCGCTTCTAGTGAAGGAAAACTTTCCCAACTGAAATGGATAAAAGTCTACCTTAGATCAGTAATTAGGTCAAAATTGTTCCGTTGTTCTCTAAGCAGTCGTCACTATCGAATCCAGAACTTGGTAGTGGGATGGGGCGATTTTTTTTCCAACCCCTAACCCTGACGCCCAGTAAACGCTAACCCTATGCATTAACGCACATACAGCTCTCTCACACACATATATATATATGTGAATATGCAAGTGTGTTAAATATAATAAGCAGCATATATGGATATTGGATTCATTTAATAAACAAACTATTATTTCTGCAATGAAATCAAACAGCGATCGCCAGTGTGGTAATAGTTATCTCTGATGCTCGCGGTGGAGAGACTACAGAAATGATTTTCTGATTTCCATGCACAGGTGTTCAGAAGCATTCAGACAAAAAAAAAAGAGTTTTTTTGTGCGAACTTACATGTTTTTCCTCTAAAACTTGTACTGAAAGGGTATTGGCTATAGAACCATGTTCTTCCTTTAAAGCTTGTACTGAAAGGGTATTGGCTATACAACCATGTTCTTCCTCTAAAGCTTGTACTGAAAGGGTATTGGCTAAAAAACCATGTTATTCCTCTAAATATTGTAGTGAAAGGGTATTGGCTATACAACCATGTTCTTCCTCTAAAGCTTGTACTGAAAGGGTATTGGCTAAACAACCATGTTATTCCTCTAAATATTGTAGTGAAAGGGTATTGGCTATACAACCATGTTCTTCCTCTAAAGCTTGTACTGAAAGGGTATTGACTATACAACAATGTTCTTCCTCTAAAGCTTGTACTGAAAGGGTATTGGCTATACAACCATGTTCTTCCTCTAAAGCTTGTAGTGAAAAGGTATTGGCTATACAACATTGTTCTTCCTCATAAACTTGTATTGAAAGGGTATCGGCTATACAACCATGTTCTTCCTCTAAAACTTGTAGTGAAAAAGTATTGGATATACAACCATGTTCTTCCTCTAAAGCTTGTACTAAAAGGGTATTAGCTATACACTATTGTTCTTCCTCTAAAGCTTGTACAAAAACGGTATTGGCTATACAACCATGTTCTTCCTCTAAAGCTTGTACTTAAAGGGTATTAACTATACAACCATGTTCTTCCTCTAAAGCTTGTATTGAAATGGTATTGGCTATAAAACCGTGTTTTTCCTCTAAAGCTTGTAGTGAAAGGGTATTTGCTATACAACCATGTTCTTCCTCTAAAGGTTGTAGTGTAAGGGTATTGGCTATACAACCATGTTCTTCCTCTAAAGCTTGTACTGAAAAGGTATTAGCTATACAACCGTGTTCTTCCTCTAAAGCTTGTAGTGAAAGGGTAGTGGCTATACAACCGTGTTTTTCCTCTAAAGCTTGTAGTGAAAGGGTAATGGCTATACAACCGTGTTCTTCCTCTAAAGCTTGTAGTGAAAGGGTATTGGCTATACAACCTTGTTCTTCTTCTAAAGCTTGTAGTGAAAGGGTATTGGCTATACAACCATGTTCTGCGTCTACAAATCACCGTTGCTAGGCAACATCAGACCAAAACACTCTTAATCTTTTCATGTCCTCCAATTGTCTGTTGACTACATCGAGAGCTTCTCTAGAGCTACAATGAATGCTTACATTTTGAGAAAGGCTATGCTTTTCTTTTTTTAACCTTTAGTAAGTAAGTACCAGTACAGTACAAAATAAGATTCCTATGACTTGCAACTTCCCAATCCTTACAATATATTGAAACAATCCATAAAACTGCAAAATAAAAAACAAACACAAGATGTATTGAAAAATAGTTTTTTTTTGTTTTTTTTGACAAGAGTGGAAAATGATAAATGTCCAATTGGTTGAAAGAGACTGTGTGTGTGTGTGTGTCAAATGCTGGACATAAGTGAACACAAATAACAAAGTCACTCATCACATTTTCAATGCAGTCCTCTCTGTAGTACATACCGGTAATAGGGGAATTTGTTTTCTCCTGAGTCCTAGACTATATTTCTGTAAGAAAGACACTTGTCTGGCTCCTGTTGTTGCACACAGAGATTGGAATAATGGGTAAGAATGTGCAGAGCTGGTAGTACACTATGGAGAAGCTCAGTTCCAAGTGATAGATGTGTAACATTACAGCCACATCTCAAGTGATTAGAGAACAATCCAAGACTTCACAAATAATTTCCATGTTGTCACTGAGTGTCAAGCAAGTTCAGGTAGTCCCTGAGTGCCAGGTCACTTAAATGTTGATTATTTTTACAACTTCAAATGTCCAGTCTATGAACTCTTAGATGTGATTGAATCTCATTTGGTTTTATCAAGTCTTTCTTCTGGACTGCAAACAATACATGACTTAGAGTTGCATAAATAGTCTTGAGTGCATAAATATAAATATATATATATATGAAGAACATTTCAACAAGTGAAACAAAGGTCAACCCTGACAAAGGGAAGATCATTAGAGAGCAAAAAATGAAGTGGTCAGCCTAATACTGGACATAAAGTGAGTACAGCTCATCAAATAGATCAATACTGCACTGCTTTTAGAAACCCAAGCCATGAAATATATTCATGGAACATTCCAAATGTCATTCTAAAGGAAACTAAGGAAATAATTATTATGACATTGTATGTAGATAATATTAAAAATGATGATTGTTTAAAGAATACAAATTGAGATATGATTGTAGTGTAACCAAAACAAAAGCTTGAAATTAAACCAATCACACACTGGTAATGTACAGAAGGTCACAGAGAGATGAAAGTTCATGTGATAAGACAACAATAGAGAATTGGATAAATTCAATGATACAAAAGGCAACAACATAGTGTCTTTACTTTTCATGTGTAATAGACAAGAAATACCACCAAAACCAGTCTATGTGGGCAGGCTGGGCATTCAACCTCTATTGAATTGGTAGGAGACAGGCAAGATTATTGGCATAAGGAGTGAACTGTTTGCAAATACTAATACATACCAACAATTTGAAGCAATAAAAAAAAATATTTGAATATGAAATGAGTTTTTGTATACTACTATTGACAAAACTGTTGTCCATTAAAAGGTTTTGTTGAAATGGAAATATGTCAACTTGAGTTGCAAGGGAAATAAGTTTTAGAAACTTGACCTCTGAACTGTGGCTCCATTATAAGGTTTTTAGATGCTGAGACAGAGTTATAAAAACTTGACCTGAACTGTGGGTCCATTATAAGGTTTTTATATGCTGAAACAAAGTTATAAAAACTTGACCTAAACTGTATGTCCATTATAAGGTTTTTAGATGCTGAAACAAAGTTATAGAAACTTGACCTCTGAACTATGGGTCCATTATAAGGTTTTTAGATGCTGAAACAAAGTTATAAAAACTTGACCTGAACTGTGGGTTGGACGTAAGGTTTTTAGATGTTAAGACAAAATTATAAAAACTTGACCTGAACTGTGGGTTGGATGTAAGGTCAATGCAAAAATTCCTGAGAGTCAAGGCAGAGTCAGGCACAGGAAAATCATAAGAGAAATATATCTACACCAGTGTCAATGTTATTGTGAGGAATGTGAGTTTGATTAAGTCCACACACAGGCATATCATAATGGCTTGAAGTAGAACACTTTATAGACCATAAACATTGACACATCATAGAGTCTAGACTGAATTAGAGTACTTTATAGACTAACATAAACACTGACACATCATAGAGTCTAGACTGAATTAGAGTACTTTATAGACTAACATAAACACTGACACATCAGAGAGTCTTGACTGAGTTAGAGTTCTTTATAGACTAACATAAACACTGACACATCAGAGAGTCTAGACTGAAGTACAGTACTTTATAGACTAACATAAACACTGACACATCAGAGAGTCTTGACTGAGTTAGAGTTCTTTATAGACTAACATAAACACTGACACATCACAGTCTAGACTGAATTAGAGTACTTTATAGACTAACATAAACACTGACACATCATAGAGTCTAGACTGAAGTACAATGCTTTATAGCCTAACTTAAACACTAACACATCATTGAGTCTAGACTGAATTAGAGTACTTTATAAACTAACATAAACACTGACACATCATAGAGTCTAGACTGAATTAGAGTACTTTATAGACTAACATAAACACTGACACATCATAGAGTCTAGACTGAATTAGAGTACTTTATAGACTTAAACACTGACACATCATAGAGTCTAGACTGAATTAGAGTACTTTATAAACTAACATCAACACTGACACATCATAGAGTCTTGACTGAATCAGAGTTCTTTATAGACTAACATAAACACTGACACATCATAGAGTCTAGATTGAAGTACAGTACTTTATAGACTAACATAAACACTGACACATCATAGAGTCTAGACTGAGTTAGAGTACTTTATAGACTAACATAAACGCTGACACATCATAGAGTCTAGACTGAATTAGAGTACTTTATAGACAAACACAAACATAGGAAATGCCATTGAAGTGAATTGAGAACCAAACCAGAGAATGTTTGGTAACCCAACATTGGGATATTGCTAAAAACAAATGCATAGAATGTTGTATGATGGTCTCAGAAAACATTGACTTTGATGTAACCAATGGGTTAGTTCAGATATTTCAATAAGAAATATAAACACTATTGAGCAAAAGAGCACAGGAAGTCATTCCTAGCTCTCTCCTTCAATCTCTGGACCTTCACCAAGGCCACAAGTTGTTCATATCATTGACCAGCTAGTAACAATGTCATGTGACTTTTCAAATGATAAATATAGATCTAACTCAAATATGGCTGAAAAAAAAAAAGACTTTTACACCAAAAAAAACAACAACAATGTCAACATTCATATTCTCATGTTTATCAGAGAAGTTTTGAGTACAGTGTCTAAGCACAGAGAAAGTTGACAAGGCACAATGGTCACTATAAAATGCAGAATTCAAAGGCTTTAAGAAACTCACTGCATAGCAAGTTTCAACTATTTTAGCATCAAGGTTATTTCTTGAACATTTTTGTTTTAGGAGATGATTTTATGTACTGCACTGACATCTATATTAAAACTGCCACATACAACCCAAACACAATAAATAAGCAAAAAAAAGTTTAGGTCAGTGATTTCCTGCGTAGCATCTGAACAGCTGGCTTGAGATATTGTTGAAGGTCTGCAATACTGAGTGGAGCACTGGAGATCATCTCCTGGAATGGAAGGTTCTCACTCCCATCTGTGGAGTCTCCAAAGTCAACCTAGTAATAGAAGTTCAACTTAAAAATATCCAAAAACTAATAAGTCTACAATTGTATTGAATGAAACTTTGTCAGATATGTTCAAATGAACCAACTGAAGTGCATGTTAGGAGATTGAATAAAGGGCAGTTCATTATCTGCACAGAGTTCATATTTCAGCTGGTTAATATTTTCTAAGTAGAGTTGAAGTCTGATACTTAAAGAAAATGTGGATTGCTGTTTGAAATATATTTTGAGTATATAATAGAGGTTAAATGGTGATATTCAAATAGTTTGTTCAATATCAACAAATTAAATGTTGGATAGTGTGAATTAAACAGACAAGTCTTACAGTAAGAAACTGTACAGTGTTGATATCTATATCTTCAAGTAGTCTAATCTTATCGTATAAAATTTAGACGTTACTTCAAAAAAGAAGATTATGTCCTAGGTCATAAGGAAGTTAGACATTGAAAGTAGTTACATTAGGTTCAATGCCTACAAGTAAAACCTATTAATAGACAGGAATACAATCAATGATTTGATTTTTCTTTAAAACTGAAAAAGAAATAATAAGAAAGAGATGAAGGTAAAAGACAGGATGAAAAAGTAAGAACTGCAATAATCATGTCAAGGATATTACTTAAATAGTTCATTTAAAAACAGTGAATAGAGGGATATAACTAACCTGCATGATGTAGGTGACAATAGAATACACTTGATTATCTTGTTTAGCAGGCTCTATAATCCAACCACTCTGTAAAACCTACAATCAACAACAAAATACTTTTTAAAATAAACGAAGCTTTTATTCAGTGTAACTGTACCAGTAAGTTTGGATCAGTCATGTCATTAAATGTCTTATTGACCAACACACAATAAATCTGTAAGATAAGAAATATTTGTACCAATTGCTTTTGTTTAGCTTTTATCACTTGTCTGGACAAGTTGGGAAAGGGGGAGGGAAGGCGGGGTATCTTGGTGAATCTTTACAAGATCATTTTTTAAATGCATAAAAAAAAAATTCACTCAAGGGGACTAATTCAGCTTATACCACTACATCTGTCATGATTTCTATTCCTTGTTAAAGTTGTTCAAGATACCAAAAAAATACTTAATTACCAAATAGTTAATTAACTAATTGGTTAATTTTTTTATTTATTGATTTGTATGTTGTCAGGTAAAAGAAATTCAGCTTAATCCGAGATTGGTTGTGGACAGTTGTGGGAGAAATAATGTGTACAATTAAAATTATCTTAAATTATCTCATATTGGGGACAGAAATGATACTTCTGATGAAACATTCAACAGGAAGTTATTCTGTATGTGAGATGGGGGCAGCATACCAAAAGCAGAGCTCTTCAATGTGCTAAAAACCTAATTTTACTTCAAGAACTATTAACTGCTATTGAGGCTGCTAACAGGAAAGGAATCTCAAAGAGAGTTGAATGATATATAGGAACTATCAAATGAAGTGAAAATTAAGAAAAGGCAGGCTTAGCAATATATCAGCTCTTCTTTCTTTAGAAACACTTTTATTAGGTACTTTAAAATCCCAGGTTCTTTGAATGAATTCTATACCTTAGCTCTGGTAACATTAGGAAAACTGGGACATTTGTCATGCTCTAAACTGAAGTAGGTCAGGATGAATTTATCTCCCTCTTGCCGTTCCCCATGTAGTATACACATATCACAACTTTCTTTGGTCAGGAAATGAAGACTCTCATGGTAGAAATAGACTGGAACAAAATCAAGCATTCTTTCACATTTTACAGTTAGAAACACTAGAAAATTAGTATTTTTAGAAAACCATAAATACATTAGAAAGTTGAATTGTATGTTTACAATTCCTCTTCTCAGCTTCAAACATTATAATAATAAATAATCTTCTTATGGTCAGAAGGGGGAATGAAGGCGGGTAAAAAAAATTCTATTTTTTAAATGTAGCATTTATTTTATATTAAGAGCAAAGTTTTTTCTTTGACAAAGAGTCACACAAGCACATACACAAAGATTTACAGCAGCTTCATAAAGAAGGAAAAGTTTTTTTTAACTTTTTTTCTTATGTCACTTGTTATAACAAAGTATGTGTGAGAATGTTTTCACATGATGTGTGAGTGAATGAGAAACACAAAGACAACTAAATAAGAGTATAACTTATGTGGTGTGTGCCAATAAAAAACTATGACAAGACCTTACAATAAAAAAGACAACTAAATCAGAGTATGACTTATGTGGTGTGTGCCAATCAAATACTTTGACAAGACCTTACAATAACAAAGACAACTAAATCAGAGTATGACTTATGTGGTGTGTGCCAATCAAATACTTTGACAAGACCTTACAATAACAAAGACAACTAAATCAGAGTATGACTTATGTGGTGTGTGCCAATCAAATACTTTGACAAGACCTTACAATAACAAAGACAACTAAATCAGAGTATGACTTATGTGGTGTGTGCCAATCAAATACTTTGACAAGACCTTACAATAACAAAGACAACTAAATCAGAGTATGACTAATGTAAGGGACAAAAGATTGAAACAAACAATCAAGATTTCAATGACAAATAGTACTCACCAATTTTCATGGCATTGTCTAATGTTTCAATAATATCAACTTTCTGAAATGGAAAAAAAAATGAATATATATTTGTATTTGAGTAATATCCAAAATACATTTAACCCATTCAGTACAATTTAAAGCTTTTGACATGGTCAGCAGAAGTGGCCTTTTCAAACTCCTGAAGAAAATAGGTTGCCCTCCCAAACTACTGAAGTTCATTGAGTGTTTTCACAAGGAAATTAAATGTACTGTCAAATTCAATTGAGCCCAATCAGCACCTTTTGAGGTTTGCAGTGGTGTCAAGCAGGGATGTGTGCTCGCACCTACTCTGTTTGGCATATTCTTTTCCTGTCTACTGCATTATGCGTACGACATAAACGAAGGTGTGTTTCTCCATACAAGATCCTCTGGAAAACTATTTAATGTATCAAGGCTGCGGGCAAAAACCAAGGTTAGGAAGCTACTCGTCAGGGAACTCCTGTATGCTGCTGATGCAGCTATTGTGGCTGATTCTGATATTCAGCTACAGTCCCTGGTTGACAAACTATCTGCTGCTTGCCAGAAGTTCAGCTTAAACATCAGTCAAAGCGAGACTAAGATACTTGTCCAAAACACAAACACTGCACCTCAAGTAAGCATTAATGGCCAACCACTAGAAATTGTTGATCACTTTTGTTACCTTGGCTCCATCATATCCAACAACACTCTATTGGATAAAGACATAAACAACAGGATAGCCAAGGCAATGGCCACCATGTCACAGTTGCAGAAAAGAGTCTGGGACAACATATTGCTGACTTGCAGTACCAAAGCCCTCGTCTACCAGACCTATGTGTTGAGCACCTTTCTGTACGGAAGTGAAACATGGTC